TGATGCCATGTTTTTCTTCATAGAATCCAGCATCTTGGATTATCTGCTCAGCATGCTGATTGAATAAGTATGGTGAAAGAATACAACCCTGGCACACACCTTTCCTGATTTTAAACCAATCGATGTCCCTTTGTTCTGCTCGAATTAAAAGATAGGAAACATTTCCATGAACTTTTTGAAATCTTCTTGTGTGTGTGTATTCATCCAATATATATATTGGATGAATATTTTCATAGTTTGGAAATATTTTCTGTAGTTTTCTCAAGCTAGCATGATCTTTTTGGAATGACTTAATTGTCAATAGGTTTTGCAGCTAGCATTCCTAGAACCAGAATGAAAACTTCAGAGCCAATTTCCTCTTGTTATTATATTTATACTTTTATTAGAATTCCCATGTATTTTCAGGTTTGTTTGTGATATTGATTTTCAAATTCTTGCTTTATTTTCACAAATAAGAAGTAACTTACTTTATATGTATGATAACCTTTGTAGTAATCTGACTCCAAAGAAAATGCATTTACATTTTTAACTTTTTAATGTTAATTTTCAGGTTGAAGGTTTAGAACAGATGTGGAAAGATGTTCACTTCAGAACAAGGAGTTGTGGAGGAATGGCTGTCAGAGTTTAAGGTAATGTATGCCATTCTAATACTGTATACTCATTGAAGTCCCAGGAAGTTTTATCTAGGGTTTAAATTCCAGTAGCTAAACAAAGAAAAGTTTTATTGACTTGTAATTCACATGCCATTCAGTTCACCCACTGAAAGTATATGTTTCAAAGCCTTGTAGTGTACTCACAGTATTGGGCAACCAGTACCACAATTGTGCTTCGGACATTTCACCTTGTTCCTGTAGTAGTCGTCATCATTTTACTCCAACCACCCCAGGCCTGTGGTTGTGAAGTGCCATCCAATTAGTTCTGACTCAGAGCAACCCTGTGTAGGGATTCGGAGGAACAGCTGGTGGGCTTGAACTGCCAACCTTGTGGTTAGCAATCCAGTGCTTATCCTACAGTGCCACACCAGGAGTCCACCCCAGGCCTAGGTAACCAACCAGTCACAAAAGACTACGTATTCTGACTGCGAGACCCTAGACACTATTCACCAAAGTAGGATGTAGAAAATAACTGTATGAACTATATTATGCCAGCTGACTTAGATGTCTTATGAAACTATGGTCTTAATCTTTCAAACCCAGACTTTACTCTTGGATCTTCTTTTTTGGTAGTGAGACCACCCTGTCTGCTTCTAAGCTCATTTTATGCCCACATTAGAGTTCTAAGTTTTGGTATGCTTTTTTTTTTTTAATGTTTTATTGTACTGGTAGTCGCTCCACGGGAGAAAGATGAGGCTTTCTACTCCTGTAAAGATTTACACCCTCGGAAACCCTGTACAGGGTTGCAATGGGTCGGAACCGACTTGACGGCACCTAACAACAACAACATGATAATTTACATGGGGGAACATTAGTTTTACATTCATCCTATCGTATATTGTTTCATTGCCATGGTTACAATCCCCTCCATGCATCATCAATCAACCAAAGGGTATACCCTACAAGCCTGCCCCCCGGTTGTCAGCACACAACCCCTCT